AAGTTACTTGTTTAAAATAAATAAGCAGTCTAGTAATAGACAGCATTGTCTATTACCCAAAACTTCCCACTGGAGACCAACCGGGGTTACACTAGTATGGATTTATTGATTGAGGAATAAACACTCCACTATATGCATTATATGGTTAAACTAAAGAGGACAGAGCTGCCACTAAAGGTTTAAACTAAAGGGGAACCAGCTATCTCTCTCACACACAAACAAACACACACACCCCTTCATTCAAGGGGAAATATTGCATAAAGCCTCCGCCCAAGCTATTACTTGATTTTACACATGGATTTTCTAGAAATACACTAAACTGTAAGGTCCTGCCAACACATGAGTTAGAGACTGACAAAAACCTGCTGACTGCATTGCTGGGGGTGGGGGAGGGAGAGGAGAGGTAGTTATCTTCTAAATCACTTCATTACTGATGCTTTGTAAATGATTCTCTGAAGCTTTGTACAGTAATTGTTTCAACTGCATTGCCTTTTAAACTCTGCAACTTGTTGTAATTTTTGTTAAACCTTGCAACTTTGTAACTCTCAGCAACTTTGCTTTATAAGTTCAGAAACCTACTGTAACCTTGGTGTTTGTTGAGCCTTGCAACTTTGTAATCTTTGTAACTGGAGCCACTTTGCTTGTAACTTGCTCTAAACTGCATTCTCCTCTAAAATATGAATGTGTGTGTGTGAGTGGAGACTATTGTGTGTTTGGGATTAGAGAAAAAAAACCCACCAGGGAAAAAATTCTGTTGAAGGAAAAAAAAAAAAGGAGGGGGGGGACCAAAGCTGTTAAGCAAAATAAATAAATAAGTAATAAAACGGCATTAAAACAACATGGCCTCTTTCAGAGTGCCTGCAGAGTCAGAATAGGGATAGGAACTGGGGACAGTTGAGCACTAAGACCCAGGGAAGGCGTTGTTTCCCCTTGGTCTTTAGGCTTTTTGCTGGTGGCCATTTTGTGTTATTGATCAAGCCAAAATGCAGCTTCCCTGCAGAACCAGGTAAGCAGGGAGTCTGGGGGGCAGAGGCTGGGGGCTGGACCCAGTTGCCAAGTGTGTCATAGGGTTGCAGGGTGTCTGGTATTTTCGTCTCCTGGCAGGGGAAAAACAATCAGACAATACCAGACATTTTAGGTGTCTGGTATTTTCTGAATTTTTTTACTGGACAGGAGGCAAAAATACAGGACTGTCTGGGTCAGTACTGGACACCTGGAAACCCTATTGGCCTGCAGATTTATTTTCTAAATCTGTTGGCTCTTTAGCCTTAACCAGCAGCAACATTCACCAAAACAATCATATATTGCTGTATATATCTGCAGAACTTTTTATGTTCCCAAAATAATATGACTATTCCCAGGAGTATCTGAGGGCTTGCCTACACTGGCAAGTAACTGTGCTGTAACTTTCTCACTCAGAGGTGTGAAAAAACAGTCCCCCAACACAGCAAGTTACAGCGCTGCAAAGCACCAGTGTAATCAGGCTTCCAGTACTGTTAGTTACTCCCCTCATGGAGGTGGTTTACCTAGAGCTAGGGTTGCCAGATGGTTGAAACAAAAATA